CTATGTAAATCTTCGACTTCGGATGAATAATCATAGCAATTATTCAGAAATATTTAATAAAATCGAATTAAAAATATCTATTCATCTTTATATTTTTCGTGATACGCAGCCTATCATTAATAATTAACTTATATTGTACCTTTTTGCTTTATTAAAAATAATAATAATGTTTCATATCATACTATAATTTTTCAACTCTACTTCCTTAAAAATCGATCTTGAGATAGATGCGTTCAAGTTAGATGAGATTTTCAGAACATGTTGAAGTTATAGCGGAGAGATTAGATTAACATTTGAAATTCTACATCATGACATTTTCAGAAGATATTCAATAAATAAGAGCCAAAAATAGTTCATTTACCAATCTGAAAATCTCTATGAACTTTCATCCATTAGCTTTAATTCTTTTTTATTTGACAAAACATATTCGACTGTAGTACCCTTTGTTTTTAATTCTTTATTTTTATGCGGAGAAAAGAACGACAAGTTCAACGCCTCGACAAACTCTTCAAAAATTATCATCTATTTATAGAAGTGCGTGTTTATATAATAATAAAAAAGCTTAATTCAGAAAACAGGCATTACACCTTCACATGTTCCTTCATACAAAAAGAAAAAAGCAATTGACTACAATCAATCTCCTTCGAGAATTCGAGAAAAGCATATTTTTCAGGCATAAGGTGATGGAAATCATTAAAAACTTTTACTAAAAAATGATCTACCATAGCAAAAAAAGTCATGTCGTTTATGAAAGATCAGATCTCGGGCTATCTTTCAACACATTTATCTCAATTTCGATAATTCTGAAGGAAATTGGTTCTTTTTTTAAAGTGGAACCCACAATCGAACAGCATTTGTTCTTGAAAATTTAACTTTTTAGGACTTGATTTGTATTGACATCAATTTAATTATTCTTCATAATCAAACTCAAAAAAGCATGTTCATTGATTAACATATTCAACACATCGAAAATGCAAGAACTATTTTTCACCAGCATTTTGATATAAGTGGTTTTTTTTTTGTTATTGCAATACTGACTTCTCTGAGTTGATTTAATACAATGTCATATCAAAAAAATTATTCTCGACAACAACGATTTTTATCATTTTATGATATTTTATTCTTCAATTCTAATTAGGATTTATATGACTAGCAGCTGTCAATGTTTAAGTGCATCATCGTGGTTGTTTTTTTATTTCGGCTTTTATTAGGAATATTTTTTTATGGAATAAAAATAAAACGACCTGAGAATAGCTTATATAGTTGATCTGGTTTTGAAATTTTCATGTGACTTCTATTATTTTTTTTTTTCAAACTTTTCGTGTACCCTTGGAAACGATTAAATTAGAACATTCTAATCAAATATATTTTTGATTACAAGAACAATACATATAAAATGTGTTTTATGTGCAAGTAGAATATATTGATCGTTTTATAGTTAGCAACATCTGTTATCTTTGTATGAAGGAAGTTAACGTGACATATAGAGTGCTTTGCTGTTTTCTTTTTGATCGTAACAATACTATATAACCGATTCGTGATTTATTGTCCATATAAATCGCCTTTTGAAATTTCATTCATTATGTTAATTATGATATGCTCTTTAGATAATGATACATAAGAATATTATGTCTGATGCAGACACTAAAACGATTGCTGTGTGCAAAATGATACAATAGGAAAAAAATTTTTTTTATAAAAATAACTATCACATGAAGAAGTACAGTTTTCGATAAGGATATTGCTTCTATTTTTATTTTTTCGAAGAATTAAGTGTAATATTCACACTCTGAAAAAAAAAAAGAATTATGCTAATTCTAATCTTAAGAGTATTAAGACATAAGAGTCTATCCTTGTTTTCTGAACACGGAAAAAACGTGATGAAATAATAACTGTCATTTTAAAATGAAATTAAAAGTTATTTGTATTATCATAGTAAAAACAGAATCATTGTGCTTATTTTGAATGTTAAATGAATCGGTCTAATCAGAATTTTGAAGATGTCTACAGTCCAATGTATGCTGATAACATATTGGTCATATGTCGATAAGAACTTTTTTTTTTGTTTTTTATGAAAAGAACAGCGAAAAACGACTAAAAATCTATACTTCTCATTAAAGAAAAAATATAGATCGATAATTCTGTTTAAATAGAATATTTTTATATTCAAGTCTTTACAAAGTAATAATGCACATGGAATAATCTAGATCTTTTTGGTTTCCTCTAGGCAAGTCGAGCTCTACATCATAGCCACGACCAATGTGCAGTCTTTATTCTCTGTCAAAGATTACTGCATTCTCAAGTTTCAAATCAACTTATTCATTCTAGTTTCGTTAGAAAACGCTGTTGTGAAAAACTTTTCTTTTTTTTTTTTGTTGTGGTCACGAACATAACCGTAATGCAGATATCTATTGAAGAGACATTAGAACATGTTTGCGCAATTTCGAAAATATTGTACTATACTGTGTGGCTTCATAACCCGAAACATCTCTAGCATGTGAGTGAATAGATAATCCACCTTCTTACTATCTAAGTATTGATGATGCATTGTTTATATCAATTCTACTCTTATGCTTGTGTGACAAAATTACAGATGAACGCAATGCCGCCAATCTCAATCACCATTACCGTACTTTTGTAAGCGACATTGATGGTTGTCAAAATATGAATATTGCCTCATATGGAGGCAATTCTTCATTTGATTATTCGATAATAGAACAAGGCTATACTATATTGGGTAAACAGGATTATAAGTTCTTCTACAAACCATTTCCATTGTGCAATTGTTAATAATAAAACACAACACGAAAATAGGTGGCGAATGCAAACTGACTAACTATTGTCAAATGAAATACCCGATCAAATACTTAAAGGCAGACTAGCCATAAATATTCCTGCAAGTGCTTGCATATCTATAAAATCATGGCGCAGGACAGAGAAAAAAAGTCTTAGATAACATCATGACATTTTTAGATGCTTTTGTAAGTATTGATGAAGACGACAAGGATGAAAAGAAAGAAAATTACCAAGGACAATAACAGTTTTACACAAGACTTATTTTCAAAGAAATTTCTGATTCCAAATAAACTCGTCTGTGTTTAGTATTACTATCTTTTCTCGATTTCTTTATATTTCTTCATTTTTGATGCTATAATAAAGTTCTTTCATGAAAAAAATAGATACGTTGTACTCAACCGCCGGTCATTATTTACTAGTTGTATTTATATAATCGTCTAATGCAAAGTATTTTATTCAGTGATAGCAGTATTTGTTTTACTTTACTAGTATAATGACGATACTATTTAAATAACTAAGATAAACCAATGTTTTAAAATACTGTTTTTATTATTTTTGAATTATATGATTGCATTGAATATATGTTGCAAACAAAATTGAATTTTAAAGAAAAATAAGGTTAAACATAGTTCATTTTTTTTTATTAAGCTCATAAGTACAAAATAATTGTCTTTTATTTTAAAAATAAATTCTAATTTTAATTTCTATTCAGAGAATATAACACTTACTATATAGTTGTTTTTAAGTAGACAGAGTATTCACTCTCACTCATTCATATTCTAATATATGCACGAATGACTTTATTTTGTGTCAACATCAGAAAATGATGTTTTGAAAATATTTTTTTTTTTATAAAAAAGCAGATCAACATATTAATTTTGTCGAGCATCAAATTCCGAGACAAGACATTTATTATTCTACTACAAGGGACATACATATAAGTCAACAAGTCCTTCATTGTTTTTGGTTGGAATATAACTCAATAAAGTTGAACAACATAATATATTCATATTCTAAATATTATCGATGAGCCAGATCAAGTGAAAGAGCAACAAATAGCGATAAAAAAAACCTACTCAAATAAATATAAACTTGAAGATTCTTTCTGTGTTTTTCTTTTTTATCAGAGCATTCTCAGACAAACCAAAATGACCTGATTTTCTTCTCTAAGATAATGTCAAAAAGATTTAAAGGAATTAACTTGTGTTTGCATAATTAATTTTAAAACAAAAATCCATATATTTCATAAATGTTCTACATATATTTTATGTGAGATCATCAATCTCAACTGTAAGAATCAAGTTTCTAAAGCTGTTTATCAAAATATGAATCAAAGAAATTAACAAGCAAAACAAGATGACGATAAAATATAATTAAAGGACGTTGTCTAAAGAGATCAGATATAATTAGAATATCAAAATAAAACTTTGAAATATATAAAGCAAATAAATCTCTCATAGACTACAGTTGTGTTCCACGATAATCTATTACCAGAGTAAGGATCTGTTTTATTTAATTTTGCATTTCGAATACAATCATTTTCTTTTTTTATGCTGATCATTATAACATCTTGATTAGAAATTTCTATCTACACAAAAGTCAAAAACTTGTTATTAATGTCATTCAGAGCCTTTTTTCATTGCAAAGGAACTTTAGTAAACGAGTCGAATGCTTGTTGCCTTCGATTGCTAATGTCTGCAACGGGAAGAAGGAAGCGGCAAAATTTCAACTTGAAATTTCAACTCACTATGGTATTCGAAAATATGTGTGAGCTCATTCTTATGACTTTCTCATAAAGATATAATTACTGCATTCATATTTACTTAATCTATTTATTTATAAGTGATTGTGTTTTAAACTTCATATTTTTTTTTTGTATAAAACATAATTTCTATCTATGAATAAATACAAATAAGAAAGTGATGTATAAATTTTACTTGTAAATTATAACATTGCTTATTAGAGACATCTGTTTTCTTTAAATATCATCCTATTCATGTCCTTTCTTTGAAATAGATAGAAACTTTGATAATCAGCTGTTGGAATTTTTTTTTTCGATTTTCGATAGCCAATGAATTCATCATAAAATGAAGATGAATGAAATTCACATTATTTCACATAATCTTTTTTTTTAATTTTTCCAGTATTCTTAATTTTATTAAATCATTCCATAATTAAATATAAATAAATCAATTAATTTTTAGATGAATATTCATACATCTAATATAATATATGTTGGTAATATTCAATCAATTGATGATAATACATTACGTGAATATTTTCAACGTTTTGGAGAAATCGAAGCATTATTTCATAATTGTTCACGTGCTGTTGATGAATGGTTAATTGATTATCGTTTTATACGTTTTTCATCTGATACAGATATAAATGTATTTTTAACAAATAAAATTGATCATACAATATGTCGTATTCGTCTTGATATTCATTCATATGATGCAGTTTTTAATGATGATACACGTTTAACATTAGATAGGAAAATATGTATTGCTCATACAAATCCTAAACTCGATCGAAATATAATTAAAAAAGTAATTCAAATAGAAAAATTTAAAAAAAAAAAGAAGATTTTTCTTTATGGAATAAGAATTATTTTTTTTTTTTTTCCGAAAGGCATTTACTCGATATGGACGAATATTAAATTGTACATGTGTATCGTCCGGTAATGGTGTCGAATATGTTTATATTGAATTTGATTCAATTAATTCAGTTCGATCGATATTTTCATCTAGTCAAAATCATTTTGCTGGTCGAACATCACTTGCAGTTAAACAGCCATTACGACCTTCACAAGTTGGAATTAAATTAGAATCCAATCAAATGTCAATGAATATGAATGCTGGCCAACGAAAAGATAATATTAAAACATTCAAATATTCTTATCCTGAACCAAGAATTGATATAACACGAAACTTATCTTCAACTTCATATCAATCAATATCTAGTACAACTATTTTAAGTTCTAATCATTCACAAAATCAAAATTTATCAGAATCAAATACTACATCTACACCATCGCAATCAACCAGGTAGACAAAAAATGTTTGTTTTTTCCTCTTATAAGAAACGATTCATACTCATGGACCTTTGGAACAGAGCTGCTCACCTGACCTGATCAGGCTAGAAAATTTTTGACTTTGCCAGGCTAAAGTTCTTAGCCTGGGTATGATTTAATA